CGGCAGATAAACCTTACTGATAAATCACTACCTGCAATTCAGTAATATGAACATCAGCCTTATAAAGTATAGAATACAACAAAGAAATATAGCTCACTAAATAAGTTTGCAGTAGAAAAACAGACAGATAGTTATTTGTTACATAAATATATCTATGGAAGCTTTCATTCCTCGGAATGACTGGAGAAATATCTGGCTTGTAAAATGAACTACCAGGTAGCCAACTTTACTGCAGGTCTGAAATCAGTTTAAAGCATACAAATCTGATTTTTTTTAATCCTTCACAAACACAGACTTACTCAGTGTTATTCACATCATTAGCACAGTGGTCCACACACATTGGCAATTCCAAACAATCCACACGGAGACATTGTAATGAAAAAAATGCACATTTATTTAGAAAAAAGTTTTTTGATAAATACACATGGCATCACACTGAAACCGTAGTTCTCATGAATGCTACGGTAGTACAGATAATGTCAAATAAACAATAGCATAGTGTAAATTAAGCATAACGGAATCCAAAAATGGAAAATCGGCTAGACAATAAGAACAAATATATAAATAACAGGTAGCTGGACTACCCGCAACTGCTGTACATGAGAGAAAACAGACAAAAAGACCACCCAGAGAAAGTTCAGAAATGCACTGGATGCGTTTCCGACCCCTCCTGGTGCATTCTGTTGAGAATTATGTGTCCATTGGGTGGCCCATGCACTGAGGGACACCTGGTGAGCATTTTTGAGTAGGAGCCCAGTCGAGTGTTTTGGCTATTACGCAGCACGACTGGGTCCCTTTCACATTAGCAGCATGGGAGGAAATGACAGCTGGTCACATCCTCCCAGAGAGACAGAGCTGCGAGGGAGAGCAAAGAGGCAGAACTCTCAACAGCCACAATCAGCACACTGGACCCCAAGGAAGCCTCACGCAAAAGTTTAGGGCCCTCTTAACAGCATTATAGGCCCCTGGGCAAAGCAATGCAATACAGGAATAAAAATTTAAATTATCAATAAAATTAAGCTTATATTTATTGTTACCTCCAACAAAATAAGTGTTTAAACATTTTAAAAAACTGCTGTACAGCAGATATTAAACCACACAAGCATTTAGTAGATCGCAGGGGAAGGCAACTCACATGAACTGTTAAAAATATTAGAAATACTTTATTAAAGCTTTACGACTTTGAAAAGTATGTGTGTTGATTTTGTTTTGCTTATGTACAATAAGTACATGTATGTTGTTTTTGTCAAGGTCAAGATATGTATTCAGAACAGCAAGATTGCATCTCTCAAAATAATATACTGAAAAATTGTCAAGCCTATGGGGCCCCTATGCTCAAAGCCCTGCAAAAGATAGGAAACTGGAAGGTAGCTTTACAAGTTTTTTGCATATGTATCTGTCAGTATGTGTGTCAGTATGTCTGTTAGCATGAGTGTCTATTAGTATGACTGTCATTGTGTGAGTGTATATGTCAGTATATGTTTGTTAGTACATGTGTCTGTATCTCTATGTTGTCATTATGTGTATCTATCTATATGTAGTCATTGTGTGTATTTGTATCTTATCAGGGTTTGTATTTTTGTGTCCGTGTATTTGCATGTGTGTCTGTCAGTTTGTGTGTCTGTCAGTGTGTGTATGTCAGTATGTGTGTATCAGTATGTCTGTCAGTATGTGTGTCCGTGCATGTTTCAGTATGTCTATCAATATATGTGTCTGTGTATCTGTATGCAGTCAATGAGTGTATCTGAATGTTGTCAGTGTTTGTATCTGTATTTGCATGTGTGTTAGTTTTTGTATCTGTGTGTCAGTATGTTGACATTGTGTGTATCTGTGTATCTTCATGTGTGACAGTGTGTGTATGTTTGTGTCTGTGTAACTGCATGTTTGTCAGGTTGTGTATGTGTGTTTCTGTACGAGTGTCAGTTTGTATCTGTGTCAGTGTGTGTGTATGTGTCTGTATATCTGCATGTGTTTCAGTGTGTTTATCTCTGTGTGTGTGTGTGTGTGTGTGTATATTTGTGTTGCATTGTATTATATGTGCATACATCTCAGCATTTAAATGCCAACACTACATATAATCACACTCCTGCATTCAAACGTCAACACTACATACAAACACACCTCTGTGTTAAACACCAAAAATATATATAAACACACCCCTGCATTCAAAAACCAACACTAGGCATAAATGTAATTGCATTGAAACGCCAACATCACATACAAACACACCTTAAGATTCACAAAAACATACTCCATACAAAAACATGCTTACATTCAAACACACAAACATGCACAGTGCTTAATACAACCCTACAAGCATGGGAAAATGGTAGAGCTGTCAAAGCATTGTTGGAGTTGCACGACAGATAGGGATCTATCTTTTGGCCACCCTTGCGATAGTGGGGTCCAAAAAATGATCTACTTTAGTTCTGCCACTGAGTTGAGGTGGAGGGCATGATTGCAGGGAGTGGGAAGGGGCAGGGTCCAGTCAAAATTAAAAATGGTCCTGAAAGGAGCAAATACCTCAAATATTGATGTTCTCTAATAGATCATTCTTTAAAAGAGAAAATGTCAATACTAAAATGCTCAATATTTACAATGCTTCAAAATTACAGAAATACACTTCTTGAGCAATAGCAGTAAAAACCCATTATAAATCATGCAGAAAAAAAAAAGAGTAAAAATCCAGTTTCTGCATCACACTGCACTTTTTGTGTTTATATGGGTGAATGCTTAAATTTCATAGAAAATAAACGTAATGAACAGAATTGCACATTTGGTTCTAGCCTACCAGGAGTGACATCAAAACCTAGTTCCAAAAGGATATTGATACTTTGGAGAGAGTTCAGAGAAGGGCTACTAAACTGGTTCATGGATTGCAGGATAAATCTTACCAGGAAAGGTTAAAGGATCTTAACATGTATAGCTTGGAGGAAAGATGAGACAGGGGGGATATGATAGAAACATTTAACTACATACAGGCTATCTTTGATACGGATAAGGCCAGGGACTAATGAAAGTGTAACAGATCCCCTATACTCTGAGTAGATACATTGTAAATCGACAATAAACTCGACAAAGTTCATTTATGATTGTTTTAATTTGTCCAATTACAATTGAGACCCTGAAATAAGGGGACAGTGTATGAAAATGGTTGCAATTCCAAAACATTTCATACAATATTTTTATTCAACCCCTTGAATTAAAGCTGAAATCTGCACTTCAGTTGCATCTCAATAGTTTAATTTCAAATCCATTGTGGTGTGCACAGTCAACATTATGAAATTCGTGTCAGTGTCCAAATATTTCCAGACCTAACTGTAAACACATTTTTTTTTTTTTTTTTTTGGTAAAATAAATAAATAATTTTAAAAAAGAAAAATATATAATCTGCATCACAATATGTGGAGTTTAACCCCTTAAAACCGGAGGACGTACAATTACGCCCTCTAATAGGCGGCTCTAAACGCCGCCGGGCGTAATTGTACGCCCTCCGGTTTTTGTTAACTTACCCGGTCGCCGGCGGTCCCACGCCGGCGATCGCGGTTGGGGGGACTCCCAGGGAGCCCCCCGCGGCACATCCGTCCTCGTTGAAGCCCCCCGGCCATGTGAGAGTGGGGTCCTAGCGAGGACCCCACAATCACATGGCCGGGTATAGCTGGCTTCTGTATTGCCGGCAGGGGGGCTGCCTGTAATGACAGGTGGTCCCCCTGCTGGCTGAAAATAAAAGTAAAATAAGTTAATGGTGTAAAAAAAAATTATTATATATACTTAGATCATATATATATATTATATATATATGATCTAAGTATATATATACACATATACATACACACACATCCACCGTCTAGGTGTATTTTACTATTAATATATATATAATTATATATATATATTAATATCAAATTACACGTAGACTGATACTGATTAAATATATATATAATTATTGTTATATATATATTTATATATAATATAAAAAAAATAAAAATATAAATACGTTAAAAAATAAAATTTAAAAAATAATTAAAAATAAATAATTAAAATATATATAGATGTGTGTTATTTCGTTCTAACTGTTTTGTGAAATTAATATATATATATATATATCAAAATACACGTAGAACGAAATAATATATATATCTATATACATAAATATATACGTATATATCACTATATATATACCTATATATAAATAAAAATATTTAAAAAAATTATATAGATATATACATATATATACACATACGTATATATATATACATATATTAATTCTACATATATATTTATGTAATATTTTTACATAATTAGTTATCTTAATTAATTACAATTAGCAGGACCTGCCTGACAACCCATGCCGAAAGTAAAGGGAATTTAATTTGCTAGCACTATATTTAACCCTATAACTTTCCGAGACACCATAAAACATGTACATTGGGGGTACTGTTCTACTCGGGAGACTTCGCTGAACACAAATATTAGTGTTTCAAAACAGTAAAATGTATTACAACGATGATAGCGCCAGTAAAAGTGAAGTTTTTTGCATTTTTCACGCACAAACAGCATTACACGGACAATATTATTGCTGTGATACTTTTTACTGTTTTGAAACACAAATATTTGTGTTCAGCGAAGTCTCCCGAGTACAACGGTACCCCTCATGTACAGGTTTTATGGTGTTTTCAAAAGTTACAGCGTCAAATATAAGGCTTGCGTTTCATTTTTTTCACATTAAAATTCGCCAGATTGGTTACGGTGCCTTTGAGACCCTATGGTAGCCCAAGAATGACAATTACCCCTATGATGGCATACCATTTGCAATAATAGACAACCCAAGGTATTGCAAACGGGGTATGTCCAGTCTTTTTTAGTAGCCACTTAGTCACAAACACTGGCCAAAATTGGCATTTTTTGCATTTTCACACACAAACAAATACTAACGCTAACTTTGGCCAGTGTTTGTGACCAAATAGCTACTAAAAAAGACTGGACATACCCCATTTGCAATACCTTGGGTTGTCTACTATTGCAAATGGTATGCCGTTATGGGTGTAAATTTCATTCCCGGGCTACTATACAGTCTCAAAGGCAACGTAACCAATCTGGCGAATTTCAATTTCAAATGTAACGTGCTATATTTGACCCTGTAACTTCCCAAAGCGCCATAAAACCTGTACATAGGGGGTACTGTTTTACACGTGAGACTTTGCTGAATACAAATATGTGTATTTTATTGCAGTAAAAGCAAACAGTATTATGACACTGACCTTTAAAATGCAATTTAGAACTAAAAAAATAAAAAAAATCGTATTTTCTCCCATTTTTTTCATATTAAATTATGTTTCATAGCTAAATATTTGATATTAAATGAAAGCCCTGTTTCCCCTGAATAAAATGATATATAATAAAGGTGGGTGCATTTACTATGAAAGAGGTGTATTACGGTTGGACAGACATGTAGCGCAAATGCCAGGTTTTGTTTACATTTTGTTTTGTTCACAATGTGTACATTTGGCTCCGTCCTTAAGGGGTTAAAACACAAAAAAAAAAACAAAAGTCAACTTTTCCTTAAAAAAAAGACACTCCAATGCAAATATGCCGCAATAATAAAGAAACCCCATTATATTTATTTTTGTCTTTTTTAGGTGAAAGCAGCTATTAATTCATAAATTTAATTTATTTATTTATTTATTTTTATAATAAATGTTATCCCACTACTGGTGTGGGTAACATATTGCTGGAACATGTTTTTTATGTAAAAAATAAATAAACCTTACATTGTGTAAACACAACAGTATATTTTTTTCACTAGCCGGATTAACCCTTTAAATGCTGGATGTTGGAGTGGGAAACCCCAGTACAAAGTCTCCAATATATTATATGACACTACTTTATTGTGCTTTTGGGTGGAGTTTCTGTGTGCATATGCAAAGTGCATTCTCACTTAAGATAAGAAGATTTCAGAAGTAAAACATTTGCATTCAGAGACATATTTTACCGCCTTAGATGTTAGCAAGTGTAACACAGTCCATGTCAGAGACAGACTAATGAAACAGAGGCTAAAGAGAATGGCAGGCTCTGCATCATATGTTTTGGTGTACCCTCTATAAATGGTTTTATATCATTTTCTTGGTAAAATCACAAATACAATGCAAATGTGTTTTCTCTGCAAAAAGGTGCATTTAATTAGTACATTTATTACCATCAATATATGCAGGTTATATTTTTTTATGTTGACTCAATTTGTTGGAGCAATATGATGCAAATCTTTCATCTAAACGTAAAACCAATAAAGTTGGACAAATATACATTTTTAATCCCTACAAACCTCCTTCAGTTACATCTACACTGCTTGCTTGTTTGCTTTTATACAGGGATAGTATAGTGATAGGAATACAATTTGCACTCCCCCCCTCCTTTACTGTACTTACCCAATTCCAGCACTGATCTCCCTTTGTGCTGGGTCGGCGTTTTGATTCCTCTGACGTCACAAGCGCATAAGGCCTTTCCCAAAGGTAAGCATTGCTGCAATGCTTTCCTATGGGCATTTGACTTGTGTTGGATGTCCTCATGCAGTGTGTTAGGATGTCCAGCATCAGTTAGGCGACCAAAAGTTGCCTAACAAGCAGGACGTGCCTCTAAAGGCTATGTGATTGACAGCCACTAGAGGCAGTCTTAGTCCTGCAATGTAATTATTGAAGTTTCTCAGAAACTACAATAATTAACATTGTAGGGTTAAGGGACAGGGTCACTGCATGAGACTACTTCAATTAAGTGGTCTGGGTGCCTGTAGTGTCCCTTTAAGTATGCATTGTGTTGCAACCCCATCAACCCGATAACCTCTATGTAAAAGTTCTGATTTTGCTCAAATTTGTGGCAGCTATTAAGTTGACATTCACATGATTATTTAGTAGGGAAGTAGAAATGAGGAATAAAAGAAAAAAACAAAAAAGGCTAGAAATTCTAATTCTGAAACATTTTATTATTACTCAATATATGTATCAAGGCATAAAAACAGGGGCAAAGTGCCAAATAAGGAGAAATTGTAATGGAAACTAATTGATTAGCTCAACATTATAAAACTGTAAAGAATCCCAGTCACCTCACATGAAGATCTACCCACATGGTATCTACATTAGTTACTACTCTCAGTCCCACTTCTGCCATTCTAACTCATATAACATTTACCATTCCTTATGTAGTCCCTCATTCTTACACATTTCTGATCTTGTCCCTTTTATTTCCTCATAGCCCTTTCCTATTCCCAGTAGACCTTTATTCTTCCCATTTTATACTATATTGTGCGTCCTCTGCATGACGTCACACGCACATCGACATTGTCATTACCATGGGCAGACGTGGGGCTATAATATGGTGTGGATCTGCAGCAGCCGCATCCACCGGCATGTTGCAGAAGCCAGGTATATTGGCGTAGGGCTGCTGAGTGGCGCTTCTATTATTCATAGGAAGGTAATTACTACTGTAATCTTTATATGGAGAGGATGGATATTTGACAGTATTTATTTAATATTTCTTAATGCAGTAAAAATCAGTTATGTTTATGATAAATTAAATATTATTATTTAAGGAAATGTTAATACTTGAAGTAAAATTTCATGACAGGTTCACTTAAAGTGACACCGTCACTTTTTAGCCCAATTTTCATTTTTAAATTTAAACAAAATAAATAAATTTTTAGGCACCCAAACACGTCGTCTGGGTGCCATGTCAACACACACACACACAAGCCCCGTTTTAACCCTGCAGCTGAAAACATTGCTGTACTGCAGAATGGCAACATTTTTATTGCAGGATTTAAAGGGATTCTCCAGTGCCAGGAAAACATATTAGTTTTCCTGGCACTGCAGGACCCTCTCGTGCCCCTCTCCCTCCCACCCCCATCCCAAGTTGCTGAAGGAGTATCCCTTTAAGTAACTCTAATGGTTGTCACTCAGATTTTCACTCAGACAGCCACTAGAGGGTGCTTCTGAGTAAATAGAGTAAAACTGCTATTTATAGGAAATGGTCTGGGAAAGCATCGGATTGGCTGAGATAATCGATCTCGATGATCTCAATCAGAGATGTGGGAGCAGCAATGGAGACCAGCGTTGTGAGGAAGAGAAAAGAAGTAAAACTACTTTCTTCTCCCTGCAGCTGAATCCTAATAATGACTTCCATAATCTTATATATTACAGAAAAACAATATTTAATAAAAAAGAATGGAAAAAAGGGACAATATAAAGGCTTGATTTAAAAGAAAAACCCACAAAGCACATAGTCTGCTTTTTAGCCTTTTGACCACATGAGAGAGCAATTTGTCAACAATAATATTCAAGATAACTCATAAACCACTCAGACAAATGAATATCACGAACTGCAGAATGACTCACTTCAAAAACAGTTTAATGATAAATCTGTTAATGTTTATACTGTAAGCGTTTAGTATTTATTTTGTATATCCAATTACAGGGCGCTCGTGTATTGCTTAGCACAATAGTGGCCCATTGTATGCGTTATGTGTTTCTATTTTCACTTTACTACTGAATATGTTATCAGTTAGCACTCATTAATAAATAACTAAGCTATTAATAAAAAAACACATGGATTTGCATAATGTTACGTCAAATTGAATTACTCTGTAAGCCAAACACTGATGTCACAATGAGTGGGCAATTTCATTGGAAAATTAGGCTCCTAGTATCTTTCAAGGCCAAATTGTTTTACTAGCATAGATCCATCACCTGGTAATATTTATATAAACTTCCTAAAATAGGCATTGATTTAATAATATTCAATACTGTTAGAAAAACGTTTCAAATTATGTATCCACAGAAGTCACTATTAGAGTCTGTGGGAATATTAGAAAAAATACCAGTATTGAATAATTTAGAAAGCTTATTAAATCGAGGACATTGTTTGTAAAAAAAAAAAAGAGCATTATTCCTATTTTTCTTCACTTATCCGGGCTTGGCCTAGAATTGTAGACAAGAACGTAATTAAGAAGATAGATCTCGGTCCACTAGTAGGAACATGCTGGACTGCTTATAAACTGTATTTATTAAGTGTATTTTTTAGAAGAACAATCTATGTATCAAAACCACTACAGCTTGTTATAAAAGTTATCTTGCTAGTGAGCATTGGATCCCATCCCCCCGATCTGAAGTCAAATATTTTTCAAGAACTTGGATAAAAACCAAGACATCTTGAGTCACCTACATGCTGTATTGATAATGCAGAATTTCAATTCAGCTGAGGGTTAGCCTATCAAAGCCATCCAAAATATTGGCAAAATTCAGATTAAGGAACAGCGCACACAGTTTTAAATTTTACAAGGCTACTTAAAACAACTATAGCAAACAAATATACCACCAAAGGATACAAATAGTGCAAAAAATAAAATGTTAACACACAATAATACTTAACTTCAAATAGCGTGTAACAGCCTCCCTAGGTCGTTACCCAAAAAACGACCTATATCATATATAGGAAACCACAACAAAAGCAATTCGGGAAATAGCTGTGTAAATCTACAGAGAAAACATAAAACAAAACATAGTGTAATATTGTTACAAAATGCAATATTCTGTGCGCAGTTATTGGTTGCACTCACTAGATAAAAGTAGGTATAAATGCTCTTAGGGTGCCTCCCCAGGTATAGTGGGGGGCCAAGCAATCCTTCTGTTCACTTCCAAATTCTTATTCCACCAAAAGACATCCCAAAAAAATTGAAAAAGATTTATTCAATAAAGATAAAAATATAAGCAGTCACCAATTTAGCATAGGATATGAATGCAAAAGCGTAGTCCTACGCATTTCGTTCGTTATGAACCTTCTCAGGGACCGCAATAAAATAATCACCATCAGGGGTCAAGTCCTGGGGAAAAAGGTGTGGGAGCTCACCCAAGATTCCCGCCTCCCCCCCCACCCCCTTAAAATTTTTTTTTAAAATTACACTCCTATGCATATAGTGCAGTGCAGGGTGTGTATAATGAAGGTAGTGTGTTTATAGTGAATGCAGAGTATGAATAATAAATGTAGTGTGTTTGCAGTGAGTGCAGTGTGAATAATAATTGTAGTGTATTTGTAGTGAGTGCAGAGTGTGTATAATGAATGCAGTGTGTTTTTAGTGAGTGCAGAGTGTGTATAATGAATGAATGTAGTGTATTTGTAGTGAGTGCAGTGTGTATAACAAATGTAGTGTATTTGTAGTGAGTGCAGTGTGTATAATAAATGTAGTGTGTTTGTAGTGAGTGCAGTGTGTATAGTGA